TTCAAGGAGTGGCTGGTGGGTTTGAACTGCCAGCCTTCTGGTTAGCAGTCAAGTCCCTTAGGCACTACGTTACCAGATCTATCTAAGTTTAAGGAGTTCTGATAGGCAGTGTGTAAGGCATTTGACTGCTAACTGGAAGATTGACAGTTCAAACCCACCAGCTGTTCTGGGAGGAAGATGGGGCAATCTACTTCCATAAAGATTTACAGCCTTCGGAACCCAGTGGGGTTCTCTGCGTGTTCTAATTGACTTGATGGCAGTGGGTTTTGTTTTTGATTGTTCAAGTTTGGTGAACTAGAAATGCATAGATGAATAAGCGTACACATGAAGATGTGCTTTTGACATATTTATTCTGTTTAGGAGTTGATATATTTATTGCATTAGCATTTTAGTACAGCTTAGTGGGGAGATGAGAATGAGTCATTGCTCATACAGCATTAAAGCCCAGAAACTTTTATGTATTAGTTTCAGATTGTAAATAAGATATTTTTAGGTTATCATTAAACATTAAGAAATCTTTCATTAAAATTTATCAGCAAGTAGTTTATGCATTTAAAGAAAATTTCAGGTGGTCTTGTGAGTTGAAGCATAAAATAATGTATGCATTTTCTAGGTTTCTGTTCTGATGTTATAGATAGTTACAAAACTACTAATACTAATTTACAAGCACTGGAAGGAGTAGTGAATAGTTAGCTGCCATTTTTATCGGTGAGTAAATTTTTCCTCAGCTGTTTTCAGGCCAAAGAATTTGCTGTAGGGCTTGGGCTTTTGGAAGTTTGTTTCCAGACAATCTTACTGATAGGTAAGGTAGTAATGCCTTTATTTTAGATGTGCTGTTTCATTGGGAGAATTGACTATAATTGTTACATATGAACTGAGAACTAATAGAAAAACAGACTTAATCATAATAGGTTATTTTAGATTTGGTTAATTGTCAAACAAGATAGAAATTAATGTCTTTCTAATGCAGAAGCTTTGTAGTCTCAGGCATGACAGTTTTATGGTTATGTATGTAAGCTCTTTTTGCCTTATTGCTCTTAACTTCTCACCTCATGATCCTTCCTGGAAGGAAGAAGGGACAGAGAAGAAGAGAGGGAGAGGGTGTATACCAGCTGTTTTTTTTTTTTTTTAAATAATATTTTGCTGTGTTGTAGGTGAAAGTTTTACACAGCAAATTAAGTTCCTCTTTAACAATATTTATACTACTTGTTCCATGCCACTGGTTACAATTTTCACAATGTATCAGCATTCTTATTATTTCAATTTGTTTTTTGTTTCCATTGATCTAATTTCCCTTCCCCTCCTTTTATTCCCTTCTTTGCTTTTGGGTAAATGTTGACCCTTTGGTCTCAGATAGTTAATTTTTTAAGGTAGCACATTCTAAAACCAACTAAACTCACTGCTATTGAGTTGATTCTAATTCATAGTAACCCCCATTGGGTTTCCAAGGCTGTAAATATTTATGGAAGCGCAGACTGTCTTATCTTTCTTCTGTGAAGCAACTAGTGGGTTCTAACCACTGACCTTTTCATTAGCAGTCAAATGCCTTAACCACTATACCACCAGAATTCCTAAGGGAGCACATTACTCACAGTTACATTGTTTATTTTATAAGCCAATCTATTATTCAGCTGAAAAGTGACCTACAGAAATAGCTTCAATTCCAAGTTCAAAGGTTATATGGTGATGATTCCTCTAGTCTCTATAGGTCCAGTAAATCCAGCTTTTTTTTTTTTTTCTTTAAAAGAAATTCAGGTTTTATTCTACATTTTTCTACCATTCTGTCTGGGACCTTCTGTTGTATCCCTGGTTAGAGTGGTAGTGGTGGCCAGACACCATGTAGTTCTTCTGGGCTCACATTAGAGAAGGCTACGGTTTATGTGGCTGTTACTCCTGTAGACTAGGTTCTTCTTTGAACCTTTGAATACCTTCATTCTTTTTTGCTCCATGTAAGTAGAGATCAGTATCTTTATGTGACTTCTTGCAAGCTTTTATGACCCCTGATGTTATTACTTAACCAATCTAGGATGTAGAACATTATCTTTGTGAGCTACGTTATGCCACTCGACTAAGTTGTCCCCTGAGACTATGGTCCCAGGCTTTCTAACCCAGTAAACTAATCTTGCAAGGTGTTTGGATATCTGGAAAGCCTCTGTAACTGTGCCCTCTGTATGGTTTGTTATAAATGTGGATATATGTGCAGCTTACCCAAATGTGTATATACCTTCAGATATATCTATATGGGTACATGCACTTAACTGTGTATGCCTTTCTATACACATATGCATCCATATCTACCTGTGTAGTGACATACATACTTTTTTGGTTGTTTTCACTGTTATTGTAAAATTGTATATGTTATAGACGTTACCAAAATTGACCCTTTTTTCTCATGTGTTTCTTAGTGTCTTTATTTACCTTGGTCAGGTTGTGCTGACAGCATCTGTATTTGGTCTTGTCTTTTCCATCACCAGAAATAACAAATATCTACTATCAGAAAGTGATTGTCCCTCCTTCTCCTTTGCATCCCTGGTAACCATCAAAGAACTTTGCTTTCTTTGTATATATCTATTCTTGATTTTTAATAAAAATGGGACCATAAATATTTGTCTTTTGTGAGTGACTTATTTCACTCAGTATAATGTCCTCCAGATTCATCCATGTTAAAAGATGTTTTGTGAACTCCTCATTATTCTTTATAGGTGTGTAATATTCCATTGTATGTAAGTAGCACAGTTTTCTTTTATGTTCATTCATTGATGAGCACTTAGGTTGTTTCCATCTTTTTGCATTTGTGAAGAATGCAACAATGAACATAGGTATGGATATGTCTATTTGCGTAACTGCTCTTATATATCTAGGATTTATACCTTGTGATGGGATTGCACACATAAGATATTTCTATTTCTGGCTTTTTGGAGAAATGCCATACTGTTTTCCGTATTATCATTTTATAATCCTACCAACAATAAATAAAAGTTCAGATCCCTTCACTGCCTCATCAGCATTTATTATTTTCTGTTTACCAGCTGACTTTTAAAGAGATTTCTGGGATGCCACAGTATGACTCATTTAAATGTCATTGACCAGAACTTAGTCCCTAACCACACCTAACTGCATGGTAGGCTGGAAATTTTAGTCTATTCTGGGTGCCATGTACCCAGTTCAAAATTGGTGATTATTATTCTAAGGAAGAAGCTGTACTCTTTACAGTAATAAGTAGTAAACTGGATATTAGCAGTCCTCTCATAGGCTACCACTTGCCTGCTAAAAATTCCATGTATTTTGCTGTCAGCATATAAGTCAGCTACTGGGCCCTGGGCTCTTTTGAGATGCTGATAAAAGTTGCAGACCCTTTAATGATGTAGAGAAATGTATATGTGTACATATGTATGGAATTTTACAGGATTGTGATCTCTGAAACCAATCTATAAACCGTAGCCTTACAGGGTTTATGAATCCACATTCCTATTAGTGAAAGCTGACCACTTTCTAGGATAGAATGTTTCTTTTTGTTAGAAAGATTTTCTTTGTTTTCATTAATTCACTCATACAGTCAACAAAAGTTTCTTAGCATGTTTTGTGTTATAGGGGCAGTGGTGGTGCTTGAAGATGTACATACACCATGATAATAATTTATTAAGTATTTATTAAATGCCTGGCATGGACCTGGGAGCTTTATTACATTGTTCACTCCCTTTTACAAATGAGGAAGTAATATGCCTAGGATTTTACAGCTAGAGATGGTAGAGTCTAGAATTTGAATCCGGGTCTGTCTGACCTTTCTTTTAGTTACTGTGAAATAGACACTTCCCTGTAAACGTGAGACACATTGAGCTGAAAGTATTTCAGTGGTTCAGTTTCATATTTTTGCATTGAGTTGTGTAATTAACAATCTCTTTGTCCTCAGTTTTCTATTAACACATTGCAAAGCCACTTAAAACATTTAACTGTGTGATGATAGTACTGTTTTGATTTTATATTTTTAAGACCTATATTGCAATCAGTATGATATCTGGCATGTGACAAATGCCAATTGATAGTCTGACCTCAGAGTAGTATAAAATGATCATATTTGAAAATGTCTTATCAGCATTCAAATTGTATGTATCATTTTTTGACATTCTATAAAAACCACCTTTTGATCACCTTGTAAATCAGAGCTGACTGGTAGTGTGTGTGTTCTCTTTTCTCTCACAAGCACGCTGACACATACACTGACAGCATCACACATGGAATTTAGCATAAAAGCTTTTTGCTTCAAGCTGAGGTTTCTGACCCCACTGATACACAGATGTTCTCATAATTTCCTCTCTTCAGCCCCTTTATAAATCAAAAAAAGTAGAAAAAGGAAAATTATATGAGTAATTACAGTATTAAATTAGTGTGGAAAACCATTTGAGTTCTTTAAAATTTTCTTTTTAACTTCAGTTTCAAATCACCTGCTTCCTAAATGGTAAGTTTCTAACATTGACTGGCCTTAGATTATGAATACACCATTCATTTTTCAGTTGACACTTCTGCCTCTTGTTTGATCAGGACCATTATTTTCTTTGGTGAGAGTACTACTGATTCTGATTGTAGAGACTAGATTTGACTTCAGAAGATTGTGTAGTGAGCACAGCAAATAGGCAATGAAAGGCCTGCTGCCGTTTTCTAATCTTTGGATATAAACTATCAAAAACTGGTATTTGATCATTCTTTCCTTAAGTGTTGAATCTTATTTAATTCCAGGACGATTTGATGAAACTGTTATTGAAGAGAGAAGACAGTGTGCTGAAGATCTGCTACAGTTCTCTGCAAACATTCCAGCTCTTTATAACAGCAAACAACTTGAAGATTTTTTCAAGGTTTAGTAGTCTTTCTGGAATATTTTATATTTTATTGAATATTTTGTTTTCTAATTTGTGGTTAAAGCAAGACTCAGTTTTTTCTTAAATAAACTGTTTGCTTTTGAATTTTATTATTTACTAAAATAATGTAAGTATGCTCTAGTAACAATGTCTATGGCATATCTTCTACTTTTAGTGTAGAAATATATTAGACTTTTGATTTACACATACTTCTTATTTGATGCATAGGGCTTAAACCAAAAACCAAACTCATTGCTGTTGAGTCGAATCTGACTCATAGCGACCCCTCCTTGGGTTTCCTAGGCAGTATCTCTACGGAAGTAGATTGCCCAATCTTCCTTCTGAGGAGTGGCTGGTGGGTTTGAACTGCCAGCCTTTTGGTTAGCAGTCAAGATGATCTAATTCATGCCATCATAATTGAAACATCTTTTTTAAAAATTTAGATATTCTGAAACTCTAGTAGTTATCTTCATTTGTTGAGGGTCTTTTAGTGGCAGACTTCTTTGTGATATAAACCATTACTAGTCCATATTGAATTGTCATAAATTTACATTTTTTTTTTTTTTTTTAATTGTGATCTGGGTGAAAGTTTACAGAGCAAATTCACTTTCCATGTAGCAGCTCACATACACTTTATCTCATGACATTGACTACAATTTACCACAGTTCAACAGCTCCTTTCCCACTTCCTCCCCATAGTTACCTCTTCCCTGTGTCCTTCCTTCCATGCCCTCCTGCCCCCCTGAGCTATGTCCCTATGCATACACAGCCCTTCTGTTCTTCCATGATTGGTCTCTCCAAGGAGTGTATCTGTCTAATGTAAATGTTCACCTCACATGCCTGTCTTTTGTTTGGCTGGAAGCCACAGGAGTGGGTTCAATTCCAGACCTGAAGGGCAACTAGGGGTCATAGTCTCAGTGGTTCCACCAGGTTCTATCAGACTAGCAAACCTGGTCTCCCTTTTTTTTTTCATTTAAATGATTTTGAGTTTTATTCCACATTTTTCTCCTACTCTATCCAGGATCTCCTACATAGATACCCCTCCGAGTGGTTGACAGTGGTAGTCAGGCACCATCTAGTTCTTCTGGTCTCATAGTCATATAGGCTGAGGACCACATGGTGTACCAGTTGCTTGGACTAATTGTTTCCATGCATCTTTGGTTTTCTTCATTCTTCTTTGCTCTGGCCAAGGAAAGACACCTAGTTGCATCTAGGTGGCTGCTTGCAAGCTTTTAAGATCCCAGTGGCTACTCGCCAAGGTAGGAGGTGGAACAGTGTTTTGTCTAGTATGTTAAGCCAATTGAGCTTGATGTCCCTTGTGACTATGGTCCCGAACCCACAGGTCCAACTACTCATTCTTTCTGGGTAGCTAGCTGTGCCCAAGAAGTGATTACAGCCTTGTCCCTTGTCAGCTCTTCTATACATCTGGGAATTCTTACAGAACATAGTAATACACTTGTAGAAGCATTCTCTGCCAACCCTATACATAGTCTTAGGCATACTCCCCACTGCATAGACATACCTAATAGTTCAGTGTGTCCATCCATCTGTCCACCCATATATCCATGTTTGCCTTCACTGACAATGCAGTACTGTCTGTGCAGAAGGGTTCATTTTTTTTTTTTTTTTTTAATTGTGATTTGGGTGAAAATGTACAGGGCAAA